AAGTAAAAGGAAAAACATATATAAACAGTAACATTTAAATTATGTGGTAAAATATAATTTATTTGAACTAAGCTGGAAAAATAAATATGAAGTTCAATTAAATCATAGAGCATGAGGTAAAGTTCTCCTTTTTTAATTTAAATGGTGCATTTTAAGTGTATTTGTGTATTTATTGGTTCATTTATATATTTCTGCTTTTATTTCTAATTCTGTCAGTTTTGGTCCTCCATAAGCCTCCTCCCCAACACCATATGGTGAGTGTGCAGTCTGCGTGGATGTATGTCCAAGATTTTTGGCAGAAAAACAAATTTTGAGCCAAGACAGTTCTATCTTTTAATTACAACTATTATATTTTGTGCAGATAAAGCTGTCTGAATCTCCTCTTTGCCATTTTCAAAGCACCATGTTATTACAGCTATAATGATTGACAGGAGTAGAGTGGTTTGTAACTGTTTACGAGGCTCCCATGCTACAGAAGTTACGAGACGATGCACCTGGCATACACTTAGTTCACTCCTTCCTACACTAAGGTGTAGAAATTAGACATGAAGAAAACAAACAAGCAGGCAAGTTAAAACTATTGACCTCATTTTAACTTATCATGCGATTAATTGATTTATCGCGAGAGGCCTGTTCTCACTCCCTGCTCATTATGGACGGATGCTCCTTTGCAATAACCTATTGATGTCACTTGTTGGATTAGTTCTAAGGTTTAGGGTCAGAGTTTAAGTTTAGGGATCAGGGTTGCTGCTTAGATTTAGGTAGTAATGTCAGAGGTTGGATGTTTGGGGTAAATTTAGGTTAAATTGCCTGTGACATGTTCTTCATCTATAAGTCAATGAAATCCTGAACTGTAAGCCTGCCACCTACAAACACTTTCCTGCTCCACTTCCTTCCAGATCTGGAACCAGTCCAACCCTCACTGTAAATAAAGATCACTTACATTTTGTAAACTGCATCCTGAGTCTGTTTATTACCTGCTGCTCACTTTTGGCAAACCTGAAATCCTGTTAATAATAGGATTGTAATTGACTATACAGTGGAAAGCATGTTCATGTGTTCATCTGTTTGGTAGCAGAATTAACTTTGTTTTATTTAAATTGTTATATTGTTAGCATTTCACCAAGGGAACAATCTCTGGAAATGTTTGTGTTTGTTGTTTTTTTTTTTCTATTCAATGTTCATTGTGGCAAATAAATATAAGAAATCCCCATGTACATATACTGCTGTGCTCATTACGAATAATACGGGCCTTTCAGTCTATTATCAGCGAACAGTTTAAAAGTCTGCCTCTCTGATGGCTCTGATGGTATAGGGGTGCATAAGGCACTGGCCTCCTAAGCCAGGGATTGTGGGTTTGAGTCCCATCTGGGGTGGTTCTATTTTCATGGTTCATCATCATACAAATGTAGCTGGGTGGTAAACTTATTTAATGTTTCCCACTTAAATGTCAAGGGTTCCAAGCATATTAAAATACTGTGTTCTTTTGTTTTTATTATATAACAAACATTGTTTGTAAATAAGGTTACTTGTGTGATATGATCTGCTTAGAGATTTGCACATTTTTTTGTACTCACAGCAGTTTAGTGCAGTGGTTGATGTAGTAACAAGGTTTGGTCACAAGGAGACAGTGTTGTGTTCATCAAAACCAGACTTTTGTAGGAGTTTGCCCATTAATGCACCTTGCTTCCTGTTTGGAGCAGTTTTGGACCGAAGATCCAGGAGGGATAAAAATGGGCACAAGTTGTGATAATATGTAAATATCCACATGATTTGTTAAAACGTGTTTGCATAATAACGTTTAAGTGACCATCAGTTTGTATTTTAACAAGACTGTGCTTTTCTGTGCTGGATTATTCAGAAGGCCTGTGTGTTGTGTGGCCGACTGCCATGTTCTCTGGTTGAGCTCAGCTAAGCTGTGATGTTGTGTCTGTTGTGAAATTTTGGAAACTTTGTGGAATGTAAGTGACTGTACAATTTAGCATTTAACATTTCCACCTGTTTTGCAAGTAATAGTTAATGTTTGTGCATATGTGTGTTTTGTGGACAGCCTAAACCCACTGCCGTATTTGTTTGGTATTTTTTATTTTTTTGTATTTCATGTATTTGTGATCTGTTGCTCTCATTTAGTGAGGCATCAGCTTCTCATAAGGATATTCTTGGTTTGCCACAAGTAACTGTTGCCAAAGACTTTTTCACCAGTCTTGTTTTTGAGAAATAGAAGAACAAAGAAAAGTTCAAGTGATTGCATTCTTTTAATTTTTTTTACATGTTTTGTCTCTTTTGAACATTGAAGATCTGCAAAATTAAAACCCCCTTTTTTATTGTGTCCTGGAGGCAACCAATTTTCCCAGGCTACACAATGAAAATCAGTCAAAGACTATTTGACTGTTTGATAGGGTTGGGCATAATCGTATCGTGTGCAAATTAATCGTCAGAAAAACATTAATTGATTAATTTTTGGCAGTTGACAATTAATACGATTAATGCCACCAGGCAGACTAACGGCTTGGTGTTCCTCTCTGATTCAAATATGACAAACATTAAAAAAAAGTGTGTAATTTATTTATCCATCAACACAATTTAAAGTTTGATGTATAGCCTGAAGTCTGTAATTTTGACACAATTTGGAACAGATTTTTACGAAGAGCCAATTTTCTCTCTATAAATTGGTCATGTGACTAGGATATAAGGGTGTCCATGGACTCTGGGGGATTAATCGTCAAATTATTGGTTATAGGCTAAATACCACAATTAATCGTGATTAATTTTTTTGCCAATATTGCCCAACCCTACTGTTTGAGCAGCTAGAATTCACCATATGACAATATTAGAACATTAGCCTGTAAAAACTTCAGCATTTGGCTTCTTTGGTTTCAAGAAGAAGGGAAAAATGACCATGCCTCAATTTTTTTAGATGTGTTGCAGCCATAAAACTCAAAATGACCTTGTTTTGTCAAAAAAAAATTCATTTTCTTTGCTTTAACATTTAATGTCTTTACTATGTGAATAAAATATGGGTGTGTGAGATTTAAAAATCATTGCATCTTTTTGTGTTTTTTATGACATTTTTCACAATGTCCCAAGTTTTTCGGAGCATGGGCTGTGCATATGCTTGTGTGTCTGTACATACAGCGGGTAAAATAAGTGTTGAACACATCAACATTTTTCTCAGTAAATATATTACTAGAGGTGCTAATGACATGAAATTTCCACCAGATGTCGGTAACAAACCAAGTGATCCATACATACAAAGAAATCAAACCATAAATGTCCAGAAATGAACTGACCAGACTATATTCTCCCAGTATTACACAGGCTTGTTTAAATGTTGTGCAGCAAACTTTAAAGGAGCTTCAACATGCTGTTTCTTCAGCAGTGGAGTCTTGCGTGGTGAGCGTGCATACATGTCATGGTGGTTCAGTGCATTACCATAATGATGCCATCATTATGCTTTGCAATAATAAGGTTGTGAAGGTCTTGAGAG